ACCCGTACCCCGTGCATGTAATGCTATCCGATGGGTAACCCGTACTTGCAAGCATATCAGCCAAGTTTAGTGGGACTTGAACATGAGTAGGCTGGAACGGGTGGCTCTCGTGTCCTGTTCCCAAACCTAGTTCGCTTGGGTTACTACAGATTTGGATATTAATGTCGGATTTGTGAGAACCGCCAGTGATGTATCTTCACCGTCGGTTCTGAGCTTGAAAATAAGAAAATGATTGGGGCTGGGCTAAAACCGACAGTGAAGGACCACATCACTACCGGTTTGTAGCTTGCACCGGTAGTGAGTTGAAGACCAAGAACCGACAGTGATTTGGTGCTATCACTGTCGGTTCTAGCCCAGAACCGACGGTGATACAATGACAGTACAAAAAGCTAGCGCCATCCTCTCCTTCCTCCTCTCTTCCATCCCGAGCACACAGGCACGCGTTTGGGCTGCTCCCTCCATTGTTGCGTCCGCTCTTCACCGTGAAGCTAGCTCTTGGATTTGGAAGAATGGATTGATATTTTTGCTTCAAGGTTAGTAACAAGCATCCACTCCTTTGATTTTCTTGCTTAATTAGCGTTGTTTTGATGACTACAATGCTGGATTCTCATTCTAGTTCTTTCTCCATTATAGAGAGCACTTTTCTAATTGGACTTTAAGGCTTCCAAGCAAATTATGTTGAATCCATCATCCAAAAGGTTGGTGTCTATGAACACATTTAAATTTCTAGCTAATTATTACATGGTGGTCAAGATCGTCATAGTTAGTATGTGATGCTATAATTAGTTCTTAGGAGTATAGTATATTCTTTTACAATTTTTATGAGCAAATTAATCCATGTGTCACCTAACAACGCATTGTTTGGAGCTACATTGTTGTTCATGACCATGTCTCCAATTTTAGTCTTTTTTTTAAATTAGTGTCTTCATTTTTATGTGACATGTATTAGAATAATTGTTCTTCATTATTGTGCAATAATTATTTTTTTATGAGGCTATGATTTTCAATTTATATGGCCGAGGCTACCAATTTTAATTTTCTAATAATTAGTGTACAATAATGTTTTCCAAAAATGGAGTGACTAAATTAAATAAGTGTAGAATAAATGGTACTTTCGAGCTATAATTGTTGTTCATGAAGCTCGACTTCTTATTAATTTCTCTGTAAATACTGTCTCAATATTTTTTGTGTAGAGATGGATTGAGAGTGGATGTATCTGTCCCGAACGGACAAGCGGTACATGCATGGCGTCAGCCAGTTTATCACCAATGCCAAAGCCCATGTAGGGAATGGGAACCCTATCTTCTGCCCATGTAAAGATTGCATGAATCAAAGAAAATGGGCTCAAATTGAGTCTGTACGAATGCACTTGATTACCAAGAGATTCATGCCAAACTATACGATATGGACTATGCATGGTGAGGTTGGTGTGAATGTTCCGCAGAAAAACGATGATGATGTGGCCATGCCTGACGTAGTCATCCACGATGCTAACAAGGAAGCCGGTGTCAACACGGAACCTATGGCCATAGTTAATGATATGTTTAGGAATACGCTAGTTGACGATACCGAGGATAATGATGGTATTTCTTAGCTACTAAGTAATGCAAAAATCGGAAGTCTTAGTGAAAGACAGCTGAGAAAGCTAGAAAAAAATAAGATAAGATGACAAAACACCATTGTATAAGAATTATCCAATGAGTAAACTAAAAGTCGACATCATGATGTTAGAGTTCAAATCAACAAACGGATTGAGCGATAAAATGTTCGATCAGTTGTTAGGTATAATAAGAAAAACGCTCCTAGAAAAAAACAAGTTGCTAAAAAAGACATACCTAGCCAAGCAAATGATCTGCCCCATCGGCCTCGAGGTTGAAAAAAATCCACGCATGTTCCAATGATTGCATATTGTACCGTGGAGAAAAATACAAAGACTTGGATACGTGCCCCAATTGTGAAGCTCCACGGTACAAGGAAGGGCCATTAGATGAGGGTACCAAGACCAGAGGAGGCCCCGTAAAGGTCGTTTGGTATGTGCAAAGTCAGCCAAGCTGTTGCGTTGGCATGACGAAGAGCGTAAGAAAGATACAATGATGAAGCACCCTGCCGATGGGAAGGACTAGAGGACTATCAATATTATGTTCTATAAGAACATTGGTAGAGAGGTAAGGCACCTTTGGTTTGGTTTGAGCACAGATGGGATGAATCCTTTTGACCAGTTTAGAAGCAATCATAGCACTGGATCGATCTGAATGAATCTGAATCCCCCTGTTGGAAGAGAGCGCATCGCCTTTTATAGATGAAGGGGATGGCCTTACAAGTGAGAGGGAAGGAGTATGTTTGCTGCTAAGTCTTGCTTCCCACGCTGGCGGGTACAAGATGATGGTAGGCGCCCACAACACTGTTGGATGTCAGATGCACATGGGAGGTTATGTTGTCTTCTTCGGGTATGGTAGACGTCGGCGTCTGCCACACTGTTGATACCTGGAGGTTTGCAAGGGGTTTTACCATGTTCGCCTGGTACGGTAAATGCCGGCGCCCACAATACTGTCGATGCCTAGAGGCATGTAGGGGGCCTTACCGTATGGGAGTTAATGGCGCCCACAATACTGTAAGAGAAAATGTTGGAGCCTACAACACTGCTTGGGCCCTATTGTGCCAGAGAGGTTGCAGAGTACTGTTTCTGCAGGTGTATAGAGTACGGTCCCCGGTATCGTGGTTTGACTTGTGCGCCCTGCCTTACTTTCTCCATCTCTTTCCTTGTCGGTTGGTCCCAGTCGGCTCTGATCGTGCTAGTCGGAGAAGAGCAGTGAGCAGGGGTTTAGCGCATCCCCGGTCGGAGACGCGGGTCGGAGTCGGAAGGAGTGCTTTGACCAGGCCTTCCGGTCAGAGAGGCCGTTCGGAGGCGGGCTGGAGACCGAAGCGAGAGCTCCGGTCGGAGAGGTGGCTGGAGTCGGAGAAACGGACGCCGTTCCTACTTGGCCAGACCTTCCGGTCGGTGACTGGATCACCCTTCTGGCCTGTTTGTTTACATACTTGGGCCAGCCCTTGAGTTGCGCATTGTCTGCTTGGGCCGAGCCTTTGTTGGGAAGCCGGTCCGTGAGGAACCCCGGGTTTATGAACCCGACACCTTTCATAGTGGCAAAAGTGAGTAATTGAGATACAAATTTAGGGGTTATCTTAAATTATCTTACATAATAAAAGAGATGGGCAATTTTGGTGCAAATTTAGGGGGTTACTTTATGTATTTTTCATAATTGCAGTGGTGGGTAATTTTTTTATACATGCTAATAGATTCAATGACTATAATTGGAGATGATGTTAGAGTCTACCAAATTAAAGGACATATGCTTCTAAATATTGTGAGAATTTTTAGGATTTATCTTTTTTATAGCGTGTCTGGTGAGAATTAATGTCGAGGCTCCAATGAATTTCTAGGATTTATCTTTTTTATAGCACGTCTGGTGAGAATTAATGGAATTAATGTGGAGCCTCCAATGAATATTTACATGTGGATTTGAGAGATACTTTTGCTTTTTTTAATGGACGATGCAGATAATTTATATATAAATGAAAAGATGTTATTTTATATTATCTTTAATGGCACACAGGGTAATTTGAATGATGCAAACTTAGCAATAATTGACATTATCTTTCATAATAGCATACCTAGGCGATTTAGATATCAATTGAGGGGGTTGTTTTCAAATTATCTTTTAGAATGGTAAAGGTGGATAATTTAGATGCAAATTTATGAGTTACTTTGAATTATCTATCATACTGACAAAAGTGAGTAATTTAGATATAAATTTAGATGTTATTTTGAATTATCTTTCATAATGGTGAACGTGGGTAATTTTGATGCAAAGTTAGAGGGTTGGGTAATTTTTTTATATATAAGCGAACAGATCCGATGGCTATTATTGGAGATGATGGTTATAGTCTACCAAATTATATGATAGATGTTTTTATTTATTGTGAGAATTTGTAGAATTTATCTTTTTTTTTAAATATTGTTTCTGGTGAGAATTAACGTAGAGACTCCAATGAATTTATTGGATTTATCTTTTCTGTAGCATGTTTGGTACTGAGAATTAACATGGAGCCTGGTTAGAATCCCCAGTTAGAAATAGTACGATAAGAGATCAATGCAGGCGCTCGTCTCATTAGGAATGGCAAGATTTTCCATCTGCACGGCACATGATGCCATCACCCATCAGTTACGGCCGCAAAACCGTGAAATTTCCGCGCGGAGAGCCAGAGCCAGCGGGGGAAGAGTCGTGGAGATGCTAAATGCACGTGCGATCTGCGCAACTGAGCCTGCCGACACGTGGGACCACCCAAGTCCCTAATCGCGAACCGATGGCAACATAAATCATTTTTAAGGTCGCTGGGCTGTCAAGGTAGTCAAAGTGACCAAAGACAGTCCGGGCGACGGACGACTCAAGACACAACGCTGCTTCCTGTTACTGGCCCGGCCTCCGACGATTGTACCCAGGCGCAGTCGGTCCACAGACACAGTCCACCCGCCCCAGATCATCTCTGCGGCCCAGATAGCCCGCTTCTTCGTTGCGCGGCACGGGCACCGAGATTTACTTGATAGTAGAGTGTTGCATTGCCGCACGCGTGTTGATACAAAAGCCCGGGTCCGGCCACCTCTGCGCCTCTCGAAAAACAATGGCCTGTTCCTCTTATCCTCCCGTCTCGCGCGTCTCGGGTCTCTCTTCTTTCTCTCGCCTCCATCCTGGTCCGGGGTCGCTCGCGGTCGCACGCAGGTACGCGCCCTTGACGAGCTCGCGCATCTCCACGAGTGCGCTACGTACGCCCACTGATCCGTCGGATTAGTCAGCGCGTTTCAACTCGTGGACATGGATATCTGATATCTCCTTTACCTCCAGTTCTGATTCTTGTCGTTGTATTTCTGTGCATCCGCCAGGTCGCGGGCACTAGTGCATTTTTATGCGTGGCGCTGGTGGTTTTGGGGCGCGGAGTCCACATCGATGGTCATGGACGCTGGCCTGCACGAGCCGTGCGCGCTGCTGCCGGGATCCAATCGCGACGGCCACATGCCAATCTACCCCCAAATCGCCGCCGCCGCAGCCAGTGGGTTCACGGCGGAGGAGCTCGAGTCGCTGCTGTTCCTGTCGCCTGATGGAATTAACGTGGAGCTTCCCGAATTGCCTATGATCATGACTACTGCCGTCGATACATATACTAGCGGCGATATGAATATGATGATCATGGCTACTGCCGGCGACGGTAACAGCACTCTAGGCCGCAGTCTTCTTGACTTAATGCAGGAGCTTGCAGCGGCACCGCCGCATTTCGGGTTCATTACTAGATCATCAGGCGGACGCGGCAGAAACGGCGGTGGCGGCGGCGGCGTCCACCCTGCTTTGATTGAATTCTTGATCCGGCGTTTGTGGCGTGACTATGACTTGGAGGCACAACGGCGTCTCGAAATATTCTTGGCCAACTCTAACTTGGAGGCAGGAGGACAAGCTCATCGGGTTGCCCACCTTCTCGCTGCTGCCGCCGCTGCTCCAGCTCAAGAACCATCGATAAATTCTTGCTCCCATCAAATTCACCTCCTACTTAGTGTGTTTCTTCTTCTTCTTCTTCTTCTTCTTCTTCTTCTTCTTCTTCTTCTCAAGGTTTGTTTTGTTCTCGAATAAAAATACACTTAAAAAAGATCTCTTTTCGCGCCTAAAAAAACTGCCTCCTTTTCCTTACAGGATATCGCCAAAATGCTCAAAGGTGTTATGGTGCAAGCTTTTGCCGCGTTCCTACCAGCGTGCGTGACGGCGTACCCTCAGTTAAAGGACGCTCCTGATCACGTCAAGTTCACAACTTTTGGTGCCCTGGCGTTCATCACCGTGGGCTTGTTCGCCGCGATCCTGTCCAGATCGGTGGCTCGTCACGGGCTGTCCTTCCGCCTGGTGTCTTTTTCAGCTATTGCCGTCTTGACGTTCGGCGTCGCGTCTCTGTTCTCTTCACCAACCTACATCGCTTTCACTGCGCTTGTTGGAGTGGCACTGAATTTAATCGTAATGTTCCTACGTATACGGTTCTAGGTAAATAAGATGTTCAATGTTTTGGTTTTTTTAGATACATAATTTTTGCTATGTACGTCGATATATGATACGTCTAGATACATCATAAAAATTATGTGTCTAGAAAAGTCAAAACGACTTATAAATTAGAACGGAAGGAATATAATTATGTGGATGGCATCGGCATGTATTTGTAGATAGCCCTATATATGATGTGCAGTAGAGTAAAGGTGGGGTAAACCAGCACCGCTAGACCCAGATCGAACGGTGCAAATTAATTTTGCTGTCGTGGGCATGCTGGTTGGTCGCGAAGCTAGCTGCTTTAATAAGAAGAAGAAGATGTGTGAAATCCATTCAATTAGCGTCAAATTGAGGACCAACTACAGAGGTCCGTCCCTCTTTTCTTCTGCACTAGCTTGTATATATGTTGGCAGATTCAACATCCTTGTTTTATTTCGTGCTGTCCGGTTCGTGGTTCGCGCCGCGTGTGCCGTGCGCGTGTACGTGTTCGCTCTCGTCGTGTCGTGCCCGTGGGGGCTGTGGATGGAATGTTGGCTGGGCTGCAGGCCCATATGATTCTTCTCGCGATGGTCCACGTCGAAGGAACATGGTATGCTGGGCTTCCAGGCCCATGTTTTGCTTCGCTGCGGGCGGATATGGAATTGGAAATCCTTTTTCGGGACCTCAAACTCCGAACATGGCGGTTTCATCCTTCTTTAATTAGAAAATCCAGTAAGCAGATGTCTATCTAAACCATAAAAATTAATTCTAATCTTCAAAAAAATTGAGAAAAAAAATAGGGACAGATTGAAACACAATAAGCATAAATAAAATATTTACTAGCAAATATGTCCATGCTGTGTAATGAGAGAAAAAAACTATTAAACATGTGGCAAAGAACAATAAAAATGTTATATATTTGTTTACTTATGTTTTATCATTTTTTAATAAAATTTTAAAACTAATTTATTTTATGATGACCATGGCGTTCATAATATAAGTTAATATTTACTCTAATTGTAGGTTTTTCTGAGCATTATAGATTATAGCCATTATTGGATTGAAGCCTAGTACCTTTGCAAGATTGTCTGTTTCATTTGCCTTGTTGACAAAGATATCCGAAGCAAATTGAATTCCATCTATTACCATGTAACTCTTGTTCGTGATACACTCCAGTATTTCTTGGCCTTCAATATATTATTTTTAAAGAATCGCACATCGTGCCCTTAGCATTTTTTCAATAAATATCCAATTGTAATCAAGCACATATCATGGGCGTGCTTGATGAGGACATCCCTCCATCAGATACAATCCCTATCAGTAATTCGACACTGAATTCTCTAGAAGGACCAATGATAAGGGCTCTCGCTCTCTCCCTCCGCGCAAACCCTAGCTCGGGCTGCCGCTCTCCCTCTCGCACGCCGCCTCAGCCGCCGCCGCCGCTCTCGCTCTAAGCCTCCGCGGCCAACCAGATCCAGCTCCTCCTCCACGCCCCTAGATCTAGCTCCTCCTTGGGCCCTAGATCCAGCTCTTCCTACGCCGCCGCCCTGAGCTAGGTCCTCCTCCTCGGACTCGTTGATGGATGGCTACAACATTGACGGCTACGGCGATGGCAACAGGAACGGTGATGGCTATGGCGATGGTGACCGCACTAGGGACTTCTTCTCCGAACCTAATCCGTTCTCCCCCGCCGGTGGCTACGAGAACATCAACGACGCGGCTTATCCCTTTTCGGCCTCGAGCAGCGTCAATGCTCCTCGGGCGGGCATAACGGCGCTCGACCTCAACTCCCATGGCCAAGAGTGGCCTGGAATGGCGGGCTATGAGGACCTCCTTTGCTCCGGCCCGCAAGGTGGAGGCACCGGCGACGGCATGGGTCCCCTCCCATTCGCGTCCGCAGCGGCAGTCATACTCTCGGCTTACGCGTGGCTCGTAGTGGCGGTGGAGGAGGCGCCACGGCCGCTCGCGCCTTATCGTCATCCTCCGATGGTGGCAGTGGACCTCCGTTACCTCCTATGACCGCCGGCATGCGCGCTTCGCCTGGATCTATAGGAGCCACGGTGGACATCGATGACCCGTGAGTACAGCTGTTGCGGAAGACAACTTCGACGTCAACAACTCTTTAGATGCTGATGATGACGAGATCTTTCCGAACGCTGCAATCCCGATAAATTTTCAGAACCATGCACAGTTTGGTTTCAGGTTGATTGTTACCATCTTCGTAATATATGTTCGTATTCTTGTTATGCATCGTTTAGGATAGTTGGTTAGAAGAAAATACAGGTAAACTGTGTGAGATTTGGGTTGACCAAATCACTAAAGGTAACTATGTGAATGGTGTCATGAACAAGTCAGGGATGAGGGAGGTCATAGCAAGGTACTATGTTGCAACAAATTTGGTTCATGACAGAACCCAGATTGGTAATAGGATTAGGCAATTGAAGGGATATTGGCAATTCATGCAAAGACTGCGTAATGACACTGGCTTAGGCCGTAGATATGATGGAACTACTGATGCCACTGAAAAATGGTGGGAAGACAACACTAAGGTAATTACCAATATCCCTGTTTCCTGTTTGTGTCTAGAAATCTCTTCCCTTGGTCACTCAAATAAGCTCTGCAGGGCCACACAGATTGGAATAAATGCAAGATTGTTTGGCCAGGTTACATCAATGAACTGGACTAAATGTTTCATGGTGTAGCTGTTGATGACAGCATGGAGTTCTTCATTGGAACATCTACACCTCATGGAAGGCTGGGCTTCATTGAGAACTATGGGGTCAACAACTAGATCCTCTTTTCTTATCTATGTCTGTCATTTGAACAATTCATGTCTGTTATTGTACTTGAACTATGTCTGTTGTTGTACTTGAACTATGTTAGTTGAACTGTGACTGTTGGACAATTCATGTTATTTGAACTATGTCAATTGAACAATTCATGTTATTTGCACTATGACTATGATGTGAGCTTGTCATGCATGATCAATTTTTGTACTGCCATATATAACTGAGATTGTTATGCATTTATGTGTCAGGATGCTAATGCAGCGAGGGATGGGGACAATTATAATGGAGATAGTGATGAGGATATCTACAAAATGCTTTTTGATGATGATGACAACGATCGTATCTATGGTATGTATCAGTATGCTATTCACATTGATAAATACTACAATAGGGTTGAGTGGAGGCAACCATTGCTAACTGGACTAGAATGGGTAGAGAGAAAGCTAGGAGATAGAAACAGCTACTACAACATGTTTAGAATGAGCCCTACTGTATTCCATCGACTTCATGATGTGCTGGTTAAGTCATATGGCCTAAAGTCTAGTACCAAGAGTACCTCTGTTGAAGCTTAAGGAAAGTTCGTTTAGATACTTGGAGCACCACAATCAGTTAGGCAAGCTGATGATAGATTTGAGAGATCACTAGGAATAGTTCACAACAACTTTGAGAAAGTTTTGAAGTGTGTGGTTAAGCTAGCTTCAGACATCATTAAACCAGTAGACCCTGAGTTCAGAACAATTCATCCTAGGTTGACAAACCCTAGGTTCCATCCCTTCTTCAACAATTGTATAGGAGCAATAGATGGCACTCACATACCATGTGTGGAGCAATAGATGGCACTCACATACCATGTGCCGCAAGGGCATGACAACACAAAAATGTGATGGCAGTTTGTGACTTTGACATGAGGTTCACATTTGTTCTTGCTGGATGGCCTGGTTCAGTACATGACATGAGAGTGTTCAATGATGCTCTGACCAAGTATAGCCAACTATGTTCCACCTGAAGCATCCTGCTCTCAGCCACGTACTAGTCAAACACCGGCAAGGGATGAATCTACGATGATGAATGCTTTCCGTGACTCGATTGCCCTTGGTTTGTTAAATAGATCATGACAATTCGAATTTGAGCTTGAAATGTAACATGTGTTTTGTTTTTTATAGTTGCGGACAATTGAATTGTGTACCTGATATATTCAATAATTGTGTAATAAAGTATAATTTTTGATGGTTCCTTAACAATGCCGGGCATGGCATCAAAGTGAGCTACAGCAAGGGTGAGCAGCTCACCGAGCAACTCTGGCGACTAGCACAAGGGCACCGGCGTGGTGTCATGAACATGCATGGCTGTGCATGTAGTAATTAATGAAACAAATCAACCATTAAATGAGGGCAAATCAGTCTTCTATTCATATGGTGCTAAAGTTTTGCTGTGGATCTAAACACCTAAGCCTAAAGTTATAATGCCAAAACTTTTGCATCTAAAAGATTTGGTGCCAAATCTTTTGGCATGGCTGTTGCATCTAAACACCCCCTTAGTTATAATTTCCACGAAATTCATTAGGCTAGCTAAGCTAGCTGTTGCGAAACGAGGACCAGTAGTAGTAGACTAACAAATTGCAACGACGAAAAAAGCATCCATACCTGCATGAGTCTCTTTGTTCTGAGTATTGCTTGATCATTCCCCGGTAATAGAACCTCAGATTTGATCATCGTCATTATTCACAGCGCGCAATTTACCGTACGTACATACCATGAATTCCTGAAACTGACAGACTACATATCTAGATTTTACCGGGGCGAACGGTACATCGAGCTAATTTTAACTGCTGGCGCCGGCCGCACAGCACGCCATTTCTGAAGACGAAACCCATGAGAATAAACGTATGTATGCGCCGGTAAAAATTAAGAGAAGAAGAAAAGACAAAGAAAAATCTATGTCCACCAAAATGGCCACTAAATTTTTGAAGACACGAGGACGGACCACGTCAACAAGATCTTTGCCCCTCAACAACAAAAGTACAACGACGACGATGAAAGCGTCGACACGTAGCTCTCTCCACATACAGGCCACACATTATATGGGCATCATCAGTTGTTGGCCACATGCCACGAGATGCTTATCTCCAAGACAGTGTGCCGGGGCAACGAACGAACGAACAATGCAAGATATGGTGGTGGTGTCTGCATGTTCAATTGAAATTACTAATAAATAAAGGCATGCATTTGCTAC